GGATCAGTCAGTCCCGCTCGGGCATCCCGCGGCTCCGCTGCAGAGCGCGCCAGGAAATCCCAGACTCGTGGGACCGTCATTACCAAGTGCAGCCACTGCAGGGCAGAAGCAGCCCAGCACTTTGCTGGGCAGCTCAAAATTCATGACTTTAAAGCCTGTGTTTATATGGAAAAGCCAAATAAATAGCCAGAAATTTTTAGTGCAGAATACTTTACCTGCTATCTTAATTTCCTTAATGTGGCATCATTCATAGAAACTGAATCCCAAGATATTTTGGAGTATTACTATGACACGTACAATAAAATTCTAAAGATGAAAATAATTAAATCTATCATTAATTTTTTTTATTTTCATTTAATATATAAAACAAAATTTGGTTATCCAGATAAGCGAATGCCCCTTTAGACAAGAATCTAGAAATTGTGGCCAGGCACTTAAAACCTTAGAAGTAGTAAAATGTCATGGACTGTAAAATAAAAGCCCAGTTCTAAGAGAGCAAGAAAGGATCAGAGAAAAAGAAGGCACAATAATTGAGTTGATGCAAGGTTATGGATTTTTTTTTAAAGGTCACAGTGAGATAATGAGCTTGAAACATAAGCAATTTAAAAATTGCAAAGTCCCAAAATTTTACAGTGATTAATAACAAGACTAATGACATAGATAATTTTTAATGAAGGGGACTATCATATACCACCTGCCTACTTCTGTCCTTTTAGCTCCAAATTGCACAAGAGTAAGGAAAAGAGTGACAGACTGTACTCATGGTGTTCTCAAGCCATCCTAGTGGCAGAGGAAAACGTGGTTGAAGAGCTAGGAGAAAAAAATCCTGGAACATAAACGCAGAAAGAAGGAATACTTACTTCTCTTTCAGTCTAGGTGTTGTAGGAGTTTTACTGCTCACACACACACATCCTTAAAACATCCCAAGCCAGATGACCCTGCTTAAAATTGAATATCAAAAGCCCTACTTGCACCTGTGTGATTCCACAATATATTCTGTTTGCTCAAGATGCTGAACTTTACACCCACTGATACACAACACGGATCAAAACACACTTACAAAATCTATCCTTTCACTCTCTTTTTTTTCCCTTTTACTTTTTTAAGGTACAAGTAATGCAGTACTTACTGTGTAACTCTAATATCAGCCCCACAGCACATTCATATGATCAAATATCAAACATACCCAGGGGTATGAAAGTCATTGGCAATCACACCCAGCTACACCAAAGCTGGTATATCCCTAAATATTTTTGATCATGTTCTTACTTCCCTGCTTAATAAACAGTGTCCTGCAAAACAACAGGTATTAGAACAAATCCAATTTATTGCTGTTTCTAAACTCAACAAGTACATGATTAATTTTCCAACTTGCTTGTCAATCTAAGAAAGCAAAACTTCAGTGGTAACACTGTGCCATGCAAAGCAACACTTGACTCTTCCCGGGATTCTCCTGAAAATACTGCTGGCCCCACAATATCAACTTTGGGTGCCCAAAACAGACAAGACTGGTTTCCATATTTTCTGTGTAGCCCTTTCCCCTCACATCACACAAGTCCAGGCACTATTCCCCCCCCCCAGGAATCTAGAACTAAAGGCTCTTCAGCAGCCCTGGATTCCTCCTCTCCCTCACCCACAATCCTGTTTGCCCACTGTGACCACAAGAACTCCTTTTTGAAGCAATCAGGTGGGATCCTTATGCCCCCCAAGAGGCTAAACAGCCCAGCTCCCCCCTCATATAATGACTATTATTACTTTGTCTTTTTACTCTTTCATGATCAGATATATACATTAGATATTCTAAATAGCTCATATAAAAGAATAGAATGTCATTTTGATTCGAGATGAATCCATTTCACTAATAACACGGATATGAAATAATAATTAAGTCAGTCACTATAGCTCCAAAGTATTTTTGAAAATAAAATACCTTATATTTCCCATCCAAATACATAATACTAAGTCCTCTAAAATAAAGGGACAAAGACCATCAATCTAACAATTAATAGGGAAACGAAATCAATCCAAGGAATAAAAAAGTTGGTTTACAACCAATTTCTATGAAGCTTTGATTTTATGATTGTTAGCTAAACCTTAGAGTTATCTCAATCGTTTATGATTAGCTTATTTTCACGTTAGATAAACTGAAGGCATTTGCAAATTATTTTACACTGCTTTTATGCAAGGTTTCTGTTAAAATCCAGTCACATAAAAAATGCTGGATTATTTTTAAAATTACATTTCCTTCTAATAACACTTTGAACACAGTCTTAACCTTCTTACATACAACTATAAAACTCACAGGTTTCATCTCTTCAGAAGTATTTAGAATACAAAATTTTGAACAAGTAGAAAAATGTAGACGTATCCACACATACAAGAAAAAAATATAATGTAGTTTACTGTATGCTTGCTTGCTATTTGTAAATTCAAAGTGTTAAATGACAATTTAATGAATGTTGTTTCAGTCTGGGCTTTCGATGCTAATATTGAAGCTTTAAAGTAGTATGCTTCTATGTATGCTTCAAGTAACATCACAACAGATGGATTGGGAGCATTGGCTCTTTGATATAAATTACTGTCAATCTACTCTTAGACCATAGGCATAGCTCAGCTTTTTTGGACAACACTTGGCATTGCTGAAATTTGTACTTAGAAAAAATTTAATACGGAGACAGTAATTAAGAGAAGAACACAGATTCAAAACAAATTATTATGCAGCCCAGTTAGGGTCACAGGTACTGGACCTGTCTCAGGAAAACACTACTCGACTATTTAAGTCTGGCTTAAGCCAGAACTAGAACAAAAGAGACTGAGATGTTTCTGTGTTCTGAAGGGTAGAGACAGAAACACTGCAAGGCAAAGCGTGCAAAACTGGAGCAGGGCTGGATTCCAGCATCCTCTGCTGACAGCCTCCCTCACTGCTGCTCCTGGGCTGGCAGTGCTTGCACAGGAACACAACTGTCACATACATTGCCAAGGGAGCCATCGACAGCACAAAGACCTGGAAACTCCAGACTAATACTTTACAAGGTGGAAAAAAAATCCAGCTGTATTTGAGCAAGTGATGGGCACAATTTAAACCCATGCAGGTCAAAGGAGGTGTAAATGTAAAGTGAGAGGCGCTTTTTTGACTTGTTGATTCCTTTACTCTGGGAAGAAAAAGCTACCAAATGAAGCAAATAATGCAACGCTGCTTTTAAATTCTTTTCCCCTTAGCATTGTGTGGGCCACTCCTAGTACCTCACACTAAAGATCCTGCTGGTAACATTTGCTAATGGAGAGCAGGACACCAGGACTGGTGCTATTATTATTCTGCTGCTACTCTACTGCTCTCTTAAATTGCTCTGTCAGACTTCCGTCACTTGAGACAAGTTCCATTATAGCAGACATTAGGTGTATTTAGGTGTTTGCCAGATAATAGAGTAAGGTTCTTAGGCAATCAGTCTGTACAGATTAGTCTAATCTGTTGCTGCTAGAAACTTTGTTTCCAGAAGCAAAGTAGACAATAGTTTCAGATTACCTGCAATAAGGTTAAGCTATGGGCAATATCTGCTTTGAGGTGTAGAGAAAAACAAAATAAAAGAATGCATTCCCAATATTGTCTTTGCCTTTACCAGATCAGGCAGGTATCTGAATTGAGATTTCAATTTCTCTAAAAACTATTCCTGATGGATCTGGCTCCATTTAAATTGCTTCACTTGTGGTTCTCCTAAGTATTTTGGAATGCAGGATACAACAGAATTCAGTTAGGAATGTTATTTCCTAAATCCAATAAAGCACAAAAAAATAATGTTTCAATATCAGATAAAAGTTCGTTATTTCCATATTAAAATAAGATTTCCAGGAGCAAAGCCAAACAATTCAAGATTTTAAGGATTCTGCATAAAAGCGAAGGCAATGAGCCAATGAAGTTAAAAACATGGAAGTGTCAATATCTGTCATCCAGTTCTAAAGTAATGCAGTTGTTCAGTGATATTTTTCAGAAAATATAGAACTGCTTTTTATTTAAACTCTCATAGCTCAAACTATAATTCAAAACACTAAGTAAGGACTGTCAGATCATCTCTCCCTTTAGCTTTTCCTAGTATGAGACTACATAAAATGATTTTTTTCTATCACCCTATTTTCTCAACTTACCTTTCATCCTATCGGACAACAGATATGGATACAAGCATGAAGAAAAGATCAATACTGTGTCTGTTCATGAGAGAATGTAGGATTTATGTCTAGCAAGAAACACAGGCTGGAGCTTCACTGAAGGTCACCAGCATTTGAGGGTAGTGCTTAGAGCTCTGCTGAACAAAGAGCAGCATAAACCTGTACTTACAATGTTTCCCTACATTGTAGCAATGAAGAGTTGGGTGGGTTTTTTTGGTATACGACTCTCCTTGACTTCAGGCTCAATATCAAACATGAGGATAAGTAACTTTCATGTACTGTTTGATAAAAATGAATTCAACACCCTAAAATTAATGGCAATGATCTAGATATCTGGTCTGGTACCCAATGATCTGATCCCGTGAAATGCTACACTCTGTCATAAAAAGATAATAGGGCAACTTCCATAACTGGAACACTTATACTGACCAGAGAGGAGATAACCAGGTTATAGAATTAAATAGGCAAATAACCTAAATTAAGTAAAATTAAATAAAATTATCATCTTTGTCCGCTTTTTTTAACTGAGCAATTGTTAAAACTGAAGTCAGTTGAGAATTAGTCCTTTCACTGGAGATACTTTTCTAAAAATTATGTTCTTAATGAAAACTATCATGTTCTTTATAAATAAGCTATTTAAACTCCAATGTGACAAACTGTTTCCAGTAGCAAAATCTATTTTGCACATGGTTTATCTCAGACTTGAAACAGTCTTCTTCTAAAACCATAAAGCTTTGTCAAGTCATCTGCAATAATTCATTGCAGCTGAAATTCTTGTGCAACCTTGGGTTTGCTTTGTTTTAAACTGTAAAAATACCTCAAAATCTCTGAAAATAGTCAAATATATAGGAAAAGTTCACTTCTTCCACAAAAAGTAGATTATAATAATACTTCAAGTATTTACAGTTTATTTGAATGAAAATTATAATAAACTTTCAAATCTGGGCATAAAGTCATAATTACTATATCATTACTTAATACAGGTTCTGAATAATTCCTCATTTTCTGTACTAGTACTGTAACAGCAAACCATCCTTTCCTTCTACTCTAGCAGGCTGGAGGTGAAAGTATTTTTCACCATTAGAAACTGAGATTCTCTGTGTGATCTTTTCAGCTTTGCACGACGGTTCTGGAACCAGATCTAAAATGGAAAGAGAAGGAATGCTTTTCAGAAATACAGCAGTGGAAGCAGAATAATATTTGAAACTTAAAAGTATTAACACAGCATGACAATATTTTGTGTGATGACAGTGGTTTGCAAGTTCAATATAAATTTACAATCTGCAGATGACAGCATGTAGCTACTTGCTACCTGTAATTTTAACACCACAGACAAAGAAAATTATATCCCTAGGTTACCTGGAAAGCGATATTAGCTTCACTGTAATTAATATAAAAACTGGTAATAAATTCAGGGACAGAATCAGATCCTGGAAGATCCTGAACATCTGGAATTCACACATATCTTATGGTGCTATTTCTTCAGCTGCTTAACGATTTGCAGCATCAAGTTTCCCATCAAGCCCAATATAATACTTGTAGCAAAAGCCTGATAAACAACGAAGGGAAGCCCAAATTCTCATGTTTACAGTATGCTTCTTATCACATTGAACTACCTGGAAATCAGTAATTAACATCCCTGAATAGATTTTGCTTTTGGCCAGATAAAGACATAGGTTCAAACACTGGTTTTACACATCTGTGCTCTGCTGGCAGTCTCACAAAATACGCAAGCAGTCACAGAAATTATGTCCATACCTATTTCAAATTTATTTATCAAATATGGTGACAAAATATAAAAAATTATTTTAAGGAAATGATCAAGTTCTGTACATAATAACTAGAGATTAGCAGAGCAGATGTTATGGAAATATTTTAGTGATGAATACCTCATCAATGCTATGGAAGGCTTTAGATTTCAGAAGGAATTCAATAGTTTCCATTTCACAAATCATTGAAGGCAGGTTTCATGTATATACATTGATTTAAACTGAGAGATTAACATTCTCATTACTGCTGTCAAACTACTTATGTATATAACCAGAGAGTACATATAGCTGGAAGAAAAGTTCAAATAAAATTTTAATTACCTGGATCCTGTCTTCATCTAAATCTAATTTGCGAGCTAACTCTTCTCTAATATCAATGCCGGGGTAGGAGTTCATTTTAAAAACATTTTCCAAGACTTCAATCTGAGGAGATTAAAGCACACTTGTTGAATAGTTAACACTATGTTCATAGCAGTAATACATAAAATAAATAAAATAGCAGCTTAGTTTGTTCAACAGACTTCTGATCAGTGTTTGCACAATTCTGATTTCATGCATAAACACATATCTGCTGAAATTAGCAACATTCCTGTTAATTTACATTAGCTCCTGATGACATTTCTCTCTGCAGAGGTACATCATGCTGAATTTATCAGCTGTTAAGGTATCTTCCAACATTTTACTAAACTACATTGTTACTTATTTGTTAAATGCTAAGGAAAGCCCTACCTGGTTTCTAGTGAATGCAGTTCTTGGTCTTCTACCCCTGTACCAGCTCAATTCTCGTTTGAAAGACAGCCTTTCAGTGACTGAAAAATATTTTTCACATTTCAAGACCTTTTCCTCTTGCACTGGATCACTTCTAGCATGAAATAATGGATTTTCATAGCAAACAACAGGAATTTGCAGATGGGGATTACTGTCATCACCTAAAACTAGAAAGAGTAAGAAAAGGAGAGCTTCAGTTTACTGGTTTGCTGTAGAAACATGACAGTATTTTTAAAGGGTAAAAGCATAAGAGGTTACAAAACAGACTGACTTACCCAAGCTGGTGCATGCATCCATCCAGGGTCTGTGAGGTTTCCCAGCTGGAATGCCATCTTTTTTCTGCTCCAGTCCCAATATACTCTCAATTGAAAAGGAGCACTGCGTGGTTTTACTCTCTCCAAAGCCGGGCACCTTGTGCAGGTCCGGAGAGGCCGCAGTGGGGGCAGCACACAGCGAGGGACCCGCCATGCCTTCACCCTCAGCCAGCATAGCAGGGACACTGTACTTGCATTTCTCCACAAACCCTCCTTATAGCTATGTTGACAAGGGGGTTGGATTTGCAACGTCATTAATTAAAATCTTTTATTAGAAAGTTTTAGCATGTCAATGAAAACTCTCCCACCAAGAGGCACGAGGAGTTAATTGTTTATTTGTTTGCAAGTAATTAGCAACTAATGGTGACACTAGGGGGGCCACCAAGGGGGACAAAAAGTGTTATCTCTCCTAACCAGAGCATCGACTTAACTTTCTCAAAAGAAGCTGTGCACAAATATAGTACTTCTCTTTTATTTGAAATCATTAATGTATAAAATCAGTTTTTAAAAAAACTTTATACTCTAATGGACTCCACTTACCTAAACATAGAAGCATGATAGGAAACCAGTCAAGTAATAAGTAATCTCATTTAAGTGAATTTCCTTCCAAGGAAATTTAAAAAATAATCTCTTAATGCTATTAGGGTAATCCCGATGAAAATGCCTCTGTTTTTTCATATGCATATGTAATGGTGAACGTGGTCAATAAAACAACAATAGCTTTTGGCATAAGGCACTGTGCAGTGGGTTGGCAGTGTTGTCAAAGCTCAGTGTAATTGCCTTCCAAGTGCTTGGATTAGTTAATAGGAACAGTTGCACCAACTATTTTAAATAATTCATGCATTCATTTTTCTTATTAAAATAACTTTGTTGCAGCCTTTTTGAAACATACCAGATGTGAAATTTCCTGATAATTCTTCACTACAGAAGCAAAACTTCAAGTAATAGAAGCAGTACATTCAAATTTGCACGTTTAAAAGCATCCTTTTTCTCACAGATGTCTCTCCCTCCTTGTAGGTATACAGCAAACAGAAGTATATTTAAATCCTACAGAGCCAACACTTAAATTCACAAAAAAATTATTACTTATGGGAAGAAAGGAGATAAAGGCTTTGTAATGGGGCTCGAAGTCTGACAGAATTCTGATTTCATCCCTTATAAAGAAAAAATCAACTATAACATTTTTATATTCAAGCTCATCTCTCAGTCACACAGCAGTTCACAACACATGCTCAAAACCAGCTTTTGGTTCAGGACAAGAAAAGAAGGAATTTCTGCAGAGACACTATAAAATTAGGATTTGTCCAAAAATAACAGGCAAAAATGAAAACAATATTTTTATTTCAGGAGGAAAAGTTCCCCCTCTTACTGGCTTGACTTTGTGTTGTGCAGTAAGACTGTTGTCAAACCAAACTATTCAAAGAGTGACAATTCTAGAAGTGACTTTACCAAGGACACTTCTCACACATACCAACGGATCTTGAAGCAGCATGCATCCACCTGCAACGTTCACTTGCAAGATGAGCTCCAGTCACCACTTGTACACCTTAAGCCTTCTCTTGAAAACTGTATTTCAATGTTTGGCCCATTAGTATTGACTGATACCACCTTGCAACCCATTTGAAATTACCTGTAAACTTTTAACTAAATACCTTGGTAGGGGCAATTAGAGCAACAAAGCAAACGTTAAGTTTGGAATCCTAAGTAATCGATAATAGGAAAACTCACTGCTCCTTGGATATGCAAATCCAATCCTCTTACAGCATCACATACTTGATGAGGCAGCAAACTAATCTCCCTTTCACACTTTGCACCACTGTTTTTGCCCAGGGACAGTGGAGTTCATCTCTTTAGTAGATGAAGCTCTCAGAGATGGGAAACCTCCAAGGGCTGTTTACAGCAGCTGAGGAGACCACACCCAGAGCTCTTGGGAGCTTTGGTCTGAAGTCCCAGTTCTTACTCTTGCTGCCTTTTGCTCTTCTCACCCACTGCTCAGACAACTTTCATTTGAGCCTGGGTAATACTTTCAGCTTTTAAAAAAGCTATAAATGGTATGTATTATCTTTCTTGATTACTTATCACACTCCAAAAATTTATCTTTCACCTCACCTTTCCCACAATCTCTTTACTCACCAGTATTTCACCACCTCAGAAGTCATGTTACATAAAGCTCTCATTCAAATATGTTTTTAACATGAATAACAAGTGTTATATTCAAAGCCAAGTTCAAAATTCCCAACTTTTTTTAAAGCAAGAATACCTCAAAATGGTAACACATATTTTCACAAAACAAAAGCAGTTAGCTATTTCTTGGTTGAAGTAGAAGCTATTTTGACACAGGCAGATTGAGTGAATGCAGGTAAATTCAAGGTTAATTCAAGGCTGCCACTAGTAAAAGTATGAAAGTGTGTTAAAAAGTGGGAAACACTGCAAATAAAGCTTACCTTATCCACACAGCTTCTTTTACCCTCCAGCAGAGGCAAAATGTTCTCTCCCTAAGGGCACACATCTGGAATTCTCTAAAGATCGGTTTGCTGAACTTCTCCCTGTTGACAAAATGCCAAGTGTTAGTTCCCCACATTTTTAAGGCCTCTTAGTAGATATTTTGCAGAAAAAACAGTAACAACAAAACCAAACCAAAGTAAACAAAAACCAACACCCCTCAAAAAAACCCAAACCAAACAAAAAACCCAACCCCACAAATCAAAAAGCCCAAACAAAAGCAACAAAAAACCCCTCACACACTAACAAAAGGTCTACAATGCTGAAAACAGTGTAACACTAAAAACACACTTAGAGGATGCAGAGGGATTCTTCAATTCATTACCATCACATTTGTTGCAGTCAAATTTGTAGCTCAAGTAAAACTTTTGGATGCCACTTACAGGTGTATACACACCAACTAATTAAATCAAATCCACTTAAAGTTACTACGTTCCTGAATTCCACTGGGAAAATGATCTTACAGTACAAAACAGAGTAATTTCTTTCAGGAGACTGCTGTAAAGCCTGGTCACAAGTTAACTGGTCGCAAAACCAGAAAGCACAGACATTTATAGGTCATGAACCAATGTTAATGTCCTGACACATGGTTGCAGATACAAGACTTAAGTCTTTAACACACGTTGTAAGATAACCCTGAATTATTACCCTTATTGACAGGGGAAGGGAGAGGTGCTGTGACTTGCTTCAGTTAGGTGAGTCACCAGCTGAGCTGGTAAATTAATTGACTGAACAGTATTAACTTGGAAATTTCTTCATCACTCCCCTACAGGGAAAAACAAAAGAACACAACAGCAAAAGAGCAAAAACAAAAAAACCCCACCACCCAACAAAAATCCCAATGAACAAACAAAAAAAGCCACCTCAAAAATCTTTAATTGTTTGCAGTTTAACACACCAGCCCTGTCGTTTATCTGCTTTTAAAGGTAAATCATAACCCAATACAAAATAAAGAATGGTCTCCATAGCAAGACTTCACAACCATTAATCATTTGGTCTGCTGAATGACTTCATGTACTTTCTAATATGGTCTTAGACTAAGTTCACTTGGCCCCAAAAAGGCAAAACCAACAAGAAAATAGCCTCTTTTTTTTTTTTTTTTTCTCTTTCCCAGTCTTGCTCTGTGAAAATACCTGAAAGGAGGTTGTAGCCAGGTGGAGTTCAGTATCTTCTCCCAAGTAACGAATGACAGGACCAGGGGAAACAGCCTCAAGTTGTGCTAGGAAAGGTTTAGATTGGATATTGGGAAAAGTTTCTTTATGGGCAGGGTGGTCAGGCGCTGACAATTACCGTCCCTGGAAGTGTGAGAAGATGTGAGGATGCAGCACTTGGGCACATGGTTTAGTGGTGAACACAGCATGAGCTGCTGGATTAATGGTTGGACTCAATGATCTTAGAGGTCTTTTCTAACCTTTGAGATTCTATAATTCTAAGTAATTTCAGAGCTGAATCAGTTCACAAATCCAGCCAATAATCTGTTTTGATTCCAGTGAGCCCTCACAGTAGTTCTAAGCATTCTAAATTTGCCACCAACCTATAGCAGCACACTTATTCAATCTGAGAGACCAGAGATACTATTTTCTAAGATGTAATCTAAATCTCTCCTGTTTCAGCTTAAGGCTTCTTGTCCTCGCACTTCACGCACAGTAAAAATGACTGACCGCCACATGGCAGGGATAAGAGGAAACTTGCCAAAAGGGATGCTCCAGATAACGTGGCAACAGTGCCGAAGGTGCTCCGTAAGGGCGGGGACCCAACGGGCCTCCGCTGCTGTGGAGAGGCCCAGAAGGTAATTGTCTGTCAGGAGATGACAGCAACCCCCGGAGCACAGACAGGGCTGGGAGGACACTTTGCTTAACACCTATGACTGCACTACCGGGCAGTCACTCCGGCAGAGAAGCGGCCCCGGCTGCCCAAGCTCCGCTCCCCACACGGAGCCACTCCCGGGACAGCGCTGGAGCCTCGGCCCTCAGGGAGCGCGCGAGAGACCCCGCCCTCAGCCCCCGCGCCTGCGCGCGAACGGGCGGGTCCGCCAGCCAATGGCAGCCGGGCAGGGGGGCCCGGCGGGCCAATGAGAAAGCCGCGCGGGCGGGGGCGGGACGTCCGGGGCGCGGCGGGCGGGGTCGGTGCGGGTCGGGGCCGGCGGGGCCGGCGCGGGGGGAGCGGAGCCGCGGGGGCTCAGCGCGGCCGCCGCCATGCCCGGCATCGATAAACTGCCCATCGAGGAGACGCTGGAGGACAGCCCGCAGGTGAGGCAGGCCCGGCGGGGGCCGAATCAGGCCCAGCCCCTGCTCGGCGGGCCCAGCGCTGCTTCCCTGTCGCTCCCAGCCCCGGGAGAGCCGCGGCGGTGGCTGTAAAGGTGGGGGACGCTGCCTGCATGGCCCCGCGGGGCTCCGACAGTCTCGGCTCGGGCTTTCCGTCCCGGCCGTGCCCTGCGAGCTCTCTCCCGGAGCTCCGCGGCGCCGTCGCTCGCTGGCCCCGCCGCTGCCGGGGGTGCTGCGGGCCGGGAGCGGGGCCGCGGTTCGGGCCCGGGTGCTGCGGCAGCTCCATCAGGGCAGCGCCGGCACCGCTCCCTGGTCCCCACCCCCGCCTTCGCACCCGGGCTGGATTTTGGGCACCTCGTGACCACAAAACCCGTGCTGCCCTCTCAAAACGATTTTTCCTCTTTGTTTTTCACAAAGGTGTATGAATGTTTAATAGACCCGCATGAAAAGCAGGTGCTGGGTGAGGTTAGTGCGGAGAGTAGGTGGGAAGCACATGGTGCCCGGAGGCCTCTCCTTGCTCCGGTTCTTCTCCTGTATCGCTGCTGCCTGATCGTGTCAGCCATGCTCTGTAGTGCACTGGAGTTTCCTTCTGAAGTAGGAAATGCTTTATTCAATCGCTCTGGTTTCTCTTGCTGGCAGCAGCAACAACAAGTCCTTGTACTGTGCTTCTTAGATGTGGATAAAAAGTTTGCAATGTATTTTCTCTTATGGCAGCCTTTTGAATTATGATCATTGCTCTTATGTATGGTTTATGTAGTGAGCAGGATGTCCTATATTGCAATAGCATATGCATTGGTAGTTTTAATTCCTTGGTCATAGGAAAAGAAACTTTCACTTGTTAAAAAGGGAAATTTAGCACCTGAAATGACAGTCATTTTAACATTTCTATATCAAGTGGAAGAACTACTTAAGAAAGGTAATGCTTTCTTTAAAAAAAGCAATGAATCATTGCTTTCCAAAGAACTGGGCCCCAAATAGCTCAAATGCTGGATGTGAGATGAGATCTGGCCTCTAATGTGAGTTCTGGTCTAGGGGCCAAACGTCCTGTCATCTCACGAAGAGGAAAACGTTTTGAAAGTCTCTAATAAAATTATTCCTTGAAGGTCTGTTCTTAGTATAAGGCAGTCAGAACTAACAGTATTTATAGGAAATGTCAAATGTATCATGAACTTAGGATCATCTGAAGACATTTGGGAAGCACATGAAAAAATGTTACTTATTGGAATGTAATTTTAATTCTAGATTCTTCCACGTGAGGTTATTTGTGATACAGACAAGCAAAGCCTAATTCAGCCCGATGTGTTTGAGATGCTTAAGTAATTGGATTTGCCAATATTGTCTTCTGTTTTAGGTAGAAAACTTACATCTTTCAGTCAATTTAATATTTTAGGTGAATTCTGGGAGCCAGGTCCTGTGGTACGGACTCAGTGGTTTTCTGTTAGGTTAGTCCATTTGTTACATGAGTTAATTTCTGTTACTTTGAAATCGGTGCAGTGGACATGGCAACAAATGTTGCCTGAAAAAGCAGACCTTTCTGGAGGAATTGACACGACTTTGATACATTCGTGCTGGAGTATTGAAAGGCTCATCAGCCTGGCTCGTTGTTTAGTGCTGCACTGAGGTCTGGAGTTTGTGTTTTACACACTGACTGCAGATAGATAAGCGTCATATCAAACTTATTCTGTGTCTGAGGGAAGGAAAGGCTTTACAAAAATGTCCAAACCCGTTCATTTCCTGCTGTCACAGGATAAAAATCTAACCACTGTGCTTATCAGGCCTAAACCAAACTCCAAGTTTACCTAGTCTTTTGCTATGCAAAACAGAGCAATTTACATCTTAACTTAGGACATATATTACACACACACTCAGTGTGTATTTAGAGTTTCTGCTCACACTGATTTGCATTTCCAAAGCATGGCACAAAAAAGCCGAGAGGCACTGGTAGCACAGGCTCTGTCTCCTGTCACTGGCAGTGCCCTCCATCTGAAGGCATAGAAGGCTTAACACGAGATTTCTTTGTGCAGCCTCTCCCTCGTCTTTTCCTGTTTGCTTCCTCACAAACACGGGTAGAAAGAATCCTAAAGAACATGCAAAATGATTAAGAGTTTTACTAGAAACATAAGTAAGCAATTCCTCTAATTTTTTGCTAAGCAGAGGTCTGCTATAACTTGTTTACAATTTCAGGTTAATTTCTTTTTATCAGTATAATATGATATTTTGACAGCTGAACATCAATAACTGACATTTTAAAAGTAAAACATAGACTTTTTTTTTTTTCAATGTTCAGTTTTAAAGAGTAAGTATAATCCAGAAACCTTACATAGTATTCCTTTAAAATTACAACCTCAGGCTTATTTATGTTCCGGTTTAAAGGTCATGAGTATATAATTCAATGGTTATAGTACCATGTAATTTTTTCTTTTGCATTCTTTCGTGTATGTCTACTTTAATGGGAGAGTCAAGGCTGTTATGATGACACATGTTGCCACACCTGGCAAAAATTTGAGTTCTCCTCCACCTCTTTCCACTTGTTTTATAAACTAGAACCAGCATTGAAGCTATTTATTGTGTTGATTATGCTGTTTGATTATATTTTTTAATATTTAAATATCTTTTAGACATTATATAATATGATAGTAGTTGTGATACAGCCAGGCATCTAATGCAACTTGGATAAAATAATTTTACATCAAAAGAATTGTTAGATAATATGATTTATATGGGTTTAATATGTACTCTTTGATTATCATTAAAAGCAAAATATCAGAAATAGCTGA